CCAAAGGAAATGGCATTATTAGGTGTGGCCTTGTTGGAATAGGAGTGGCTTTCTTGGTGGAAGTGTCTCATTGTTGGGGTGGACTTTGAGGTCTCCTTTGCTCAAGCTACACTCAATGCGGTGCACAGTTTACTTCCTGTTGCCTGGAGATCAGTTTGTCAGACATTCAGCTACTTCTCCAGCACCATGTCTGCCTGCACACTACCATGATTCTCACCATGATGACAACAGACTAAACCTCTGAAACTGTAAGCTAGCACCAATTAAATGTTTTCCTTTATAAGAATTGCTTTGGTCATGGTGTCTCTTCACAGCAATAGAAACCCTAACTAAGAAAACATCAAAACTATTCACTCTGATCAGGTTGGATTCATCCCAGAGAGGCACGGATGACTCAACATATATGAATTAATCAACGTAATCGGTTGTATAAACAGTTTGAAAGGCAAAAGCCATATGCTCTTCTCATTAGATTCAGAAAAGGCCTTTGACAAAATCCTATATCCTTTTATGATAAAGGTCCTGGAGAGACTATGGACACAAGGCATATACCTCAAATTAATGAAGGTGATGTGCTGCAAGCTCACAGCCAACATCAACCTACATAGAAAGAAACTCCAAAGCATTTCCACTAAATCAGGAACAAGAAAAGAATGCCCACTCTTTCCATACTATTCAATATAGTACTTTAATTCTCAGCTAGAGCTATAAGACAACTGAAAGTGTTTAAGGGACTATCAATAGAAAATGAAGAACTCAAAGTATCTTTATTGGTGGGTTTTCTGACTAGTTTTATGTCAACTTGACACAAGCCATAGTCATCTGAGAGGAAGGAACCATAATTGAGAAAATGCCTCCATAAGATTGGGCCATTGGCAAGCCGATAGAGAATTTTAATTAGTGATTGATATGGAAGGGCCCAGGACATTGTGGGTGGTGCCATCCTCGGGCTGGTGGTCCTGGGTTCTATAAGAAAGCAAGCCATGAGGATCAAGCCAGTGAGCAGCACACCTCTATGGCCTCTACATCGGCTCCTGCCTCCAGGATCCTGTCCTGTTTAAGTTCCTGTCCTGACTTCCTTCAGTGATGAACAGCAAAGCTGAAGTGTAAGCCAAATAAACCCCTTTCTCCCCACCATGTTGCTTTACAGTCATGTTATTTCATCACGGCAATAGAAACCTTAACTAAGCAAACTACAATGTGGAAATGTAAGACAAATAAATCCTTTCCTCCTGAAGTTGATTTGGTCATGGTGTCTATTACAGTAATAGGAAATTAAATTAGTACCAGGTTAGTGGAGTTTTGCTGTGATAGACCTGACGATGTAATTTTGGGAAGATTGTGGAAAGACATTGGAACTTTGGCCGAGAAAAGCTATTAAGTGTTCAAAGTTTGTTGATCTATTCTGGGAGCTTGAAAGAAAGAAGTATTGAGAGAAATGTAGACGATTGAAGCCTAACTTGTGAAGTTCCGGAGGGGAGTCTGAGAATTACTTATCATCTATGGGGGCATTGCATATTTGCCATTTTGAATTAAGATTCTGTGGTTTGGATCAGGTGACGATTAACAAGGGGCTTGCACCATTGAAGAGAAACAGTTGATGGTGGTTATCTGGAGCAGAGAAATTAGTGGTGATGGAAACCAACACCATTGAAAGAGCAGTTTGAAGGGAGGAAAGGAAAGGGAGGAGTGATAAATTATAATCTCTACAAATTAAAAACATATACCTAATAACTGATTTATGAAAGGAAGGAAGGAAGGAAGGAAGGGGGAGGGAGGAAGAAAGGAAGAAAGAAAGGAAGAAAGAAAGAAAGAAAGAAAGAAAGAAAGAAAGAATGAGTGAAAGAAAGAAAGCAGCCAGAACACTCTGAAAACAGTTGCTTTCGGGTCCCCGCCTTCAGTTATCTGGTCGTTTCTGTCTCCTGGTCTCAGCATCTGAGCCAGAGTTTCAGGCATAGTGTAATGGAATGTGCAGTGCTATACAGATGTTCTGTGCTCTGAAGCAAGGCTATACTGTCAAAAGCACTGTGGATTCATTAGGCATTTGATTTTGATTTTGTTGCTGTTGTTGTGTTCAGGAACCTTTTACTGCTGAAAGTTTCTTCATGACCCTTGAATTCAGTTACATGACCTAAAAATTGGGATAAAACACAGAGTCTTGCATTTGCTAGGCAGATATTACAGCATTAGTCTCCACACCCCCACCCCAGTTGGAAACTATTGAGTGATGCCACATTGTGCTTAAATTGCAAGCCAAGTCAGAATGGAGTCATTTTTAATTTCCTTGTGTATTTTTCTATGACAGCTACTGCTGGGGTTAAGAAAAATCTTCTATTTGCATTTTTGTGACCCAACTTTATGATAACATTCTCAATTTAATGATAACATTCTCAATTTAATGATACTAACCCATATGTAGAAAATCTATTACAAACAATGCCTCCTGGTGGCTTGTCCTAGCATTGCAGCAAGTAGAATAAGGCTCATTCCAGTGATGCTGTTCCTCGAGCAACATGGCTATTTTTAAAAAACAACATCGTTGGGAACATTGTCTTCGACTTGGAATTGGAAACAGGGAGACCATTGAGTTTAGAAGACCTGGAGAGAGCTGAACAAGATTATTGCTTAGTTCTGGCCTCATGGACTTGAAGGAGTAGGAGTTTATTTTGCTTTTCAGCATGGGTAGAAATTAATTTACACAAAATGTATACATAGTGTGACAGACAAATCATGTAATTTTTATCTATTAGAGATAGACTTGACAGTTTGGTATCTACAGCAAAGTTGTTTCAGCATCTTTGGTTGCTATATGGATATATGTTTTTGAAAGTCCCCCCCCCCCTTGTGACCTCCCTGTCAACAAAAATAAACAAGTCTAATTTGTGTAATCTATATACTTAAGGGACCTTGGTCAAAGCCTCAGTGTCCAGCCCCTTAAATAGAATGGAGTTCTTCCTCCCCTAACACCCTTGCAAGAAGCCATCAATTGTGGAGAGCTAACCTCAGCATCCTTATCAGCTTTTTAAAAGTTCTCTTCGATGGCTTCCTATTTAGGGCTGTTACCTTTTTTGGGAGGGGGAGTAGGGATTATCACAGAAGCCTTCTACGTCCTTCTTTCTCAGCTATGCATCTGCAGTCATCGCTATCACAGCAAAAGTAGCTTCCTTATTCTTTACAGTCAGTGGGAACATGGATCATGGGCTTCCACATGGTTTCTGGTGACAGCACAGACCACAGACCCAGACATGGCCCTCGGTGGCAGTATTGCCCGTACATCACCATAGATTCAGGTGGCAGCGCAGGCCACCCAGGTCAGTATGGCCCACTGATGACAGCATGACCCACAGACGTCAACATGGTTTCAGATTACACACGTCCACATGGCCTTGGGTGGTAACATGGACCACAGATTTTAACATGCAACCAAAGTTTCAGGATCATAGGCCCACTTATGGGCCTCAGCAGCAGCACAGATGACAAACCTCAACACGGCCTCAGGACTCTCACATCAACATGGCCCCCAAAGGCTGCAAAGCCTGAGGACATCACCAAGGCATCAGGTAGCCGCACAGACCACTGTATGTCCACATTAGATCTCAAGGCTTTATCATCGCTTGGAGCAGCAACAGGGACCACAGACACCAACAGGGCATCCAGTGGCCCCGAGCACCACGGTGGACCTTTGAGGAGGTCCAATCCAGAAAGCGAACCGTTCCTCATCTCAGGCCTCGGTTGTTGGCCAGAGCTGGGAGAGTGTTGCAGGGTTGTGGGGTGGGGTGGGGTGGGGTGGGGATGCTGAGTCTGCATCTCCATAAGCTTTAGGCTACTGCATACCACACCGCAGGCCAACGCCCCCATGAGCAACAACACATTCCACAGTGAAGTCGACCTCAGCCCTGTCTCACACCGATCACTGCCATCTTGTCGCCAGTTCTGCCTCTCTCTATGGTGCCTGCACTGCTCTGCTCTTTCCCACTTCTTCATCACTCATTCATTAATTGTAGTGGGGCAGACCACCTGTCCTGTGCAAGGCGGGGTGGGTCCCTTTAAGCAGATTCTAATTAATGAATGAGGTGAATAAAATCTTTCTCTTGTGGCCATTTTATATTCACACAAGTATAAAGATTGCATATTATTTTCACTTTAAAACCATTGTAGTTTAGGGCTACAGAGACCAGCTTCTCTCCCAGAGTACCTGGGTTCGATCCCCTGTACTCATACAACAGCTCACAATTGTCTGTAACTCTAGTGCAAAAAGATCCAATACCTTTTTCTAGTTTCTGAGGGCAATAGGTACAAACACGGTGCACAGACATACATGCAGGTAAAACCGCATACACATAAAAATTATAATTTAACAATACAATGTTTGATACTTTTATTTTCATATTTAAGTACTTTTCATTTGAAAGGCAAGTCAGGCTGTCAAATATTTAAGTTTAAATTAGACATAAATGAGTGATTTGTGCTCTGGGATAGAAAGAGCATTCATAGCTTTAATTTTTGTGTGCAATGTATGAAATGTGTAAAATCTTCTAAGGTAAGAAAATCTCCATCACAAGTGTGTTAACCTGTCTGCTGTGAAACAGGGCCTGCCTAAGTAACCTAGTCTGGCTCTGCACTCCCACCTCATCTTCTTCAGTGCTGAAATATAGGCGTTCACCACCATGCTAAGTCCCGATTAAGGTTTTTAATCCAAAAAGAGAAAAAGGAAATCTTGGAGATGGTCAAATTCGGCAGCAAGGAAATGACAGATCTGAGAGCAATGGCCATCTGTGTGTGTCTTTTTGGCCGAGGTCTCCTTGCAGGCCTTGCATCTTATAAGCTCACTGGTCTGGGAGAAGGCTTTCTTCTCCCCAGTGACCCCAGAGGCTTCTTTCAATCAGAAAGAATGGTAATGTGCCACAACTTGAACGTAATAAAATTCTCTCCTTAGTGCTTGAAACAGTGCTCGAAACTTTTTAGACAGACAGCTGGTGGATTTACAAAAGAAACAAGGATATTGCCATCTAGTGGTTTAATTGAAGAAATTCATTTAAGTGATTTTTTTTTTTCACTCACAAATTTGGCTTATTTTCAAGGTGGACCTGAATATGAAAGCATTTCTTTGTAGAAGCAAATCTCAACAGACCTCTTGAATCAGTACTTCAGACCTGACAGCTCTCCATTTCATTTCCAGGCCGTATTCCCTATTAAATTCAGCAGGATATGATTCAGAACACATGGAATCTTCACAATTGAAATGACTAATGAAGTATAATGTTTAGCTGAAGAAATTCTAAGACAGAAATTAAACAAAAACTAAATTGGTCAAATTAATAATTGCAAAATGTTAAAACAATCGCATAAAATATATAGGCGTATAATATACAAACACTTATATATACCTATAGTAATGTTTCCTGAATTATGCCACAGGGAAGGTCCTCTGATGATGGGGAAGGTCCTTCTTTGTATGTTTATCTTATTGGTTGTTGAATACAGTACTGTTGGCCAATGAAGAAACAAGTTAGGTGTGACAAGGAGTCAAGAAGGATTCTGGGAAATGTAGTAAAGATATTCAGGGAGAAAGTGACATAGCAGGCAGACTCAGAATATAAGCAAGGACAAGAAGGAAGTTGTTCCTTTTCTTTTTCCTCCTGCTCTCTTCTCTATGGAGCCACCATGTGAGCCTGGGAAGACAAGATGCTTGCCGCCAGTGTCCTCTAAGATAAGTCTTATAAAATATATAGATTTATGATAATTAAGACTGAGTTAGCATATAAGAAATCCTAGTCAATTGTCCAGCAGCATTGTAAACTAATATAATACTCTCTGTATTATTCTGGCCATGCACATGGTGGTGAGGCTTGGGTGGTTGGAGTAAAGACTTATTGTTATACTCTGATTTTATTAAATACCTTCCTTAGGGCTGGCAATATAACTTAGGAAGTAAAGGCACTTGCTGCAAAACTTGATGATCTGAGTTCAATCTCCAGGAACTACATTATGTTAGGAAATTACAGATTCTCCCACATATTGTCCACCATGCAAGTGCCCTGGCATGAATATATGCATGCATATATGCATGTGTATACATAGAGATACACAAATATTTTAAAAATTCTTCATTGCAACTACTACTTTTGTGGTAGTCTATAACTAAGAAGCTTGACATGTAACACTTTAAAAATAATATCTATTTGTAATAACCAGAAACTGGAAGCAGCCTAGATGTCCCTCAACCGAAAAATGGATAGAGAAAATGTGGTACATTTACACAATGGAGTACTACTCAACAGAAGGAAACAATGGAATCTTGAAATTTGCAGGAAAAGGGATGGAACTCGAAGAAACCATTCTGAGTGAGATAGCCCAATCACAAAAAGATAAACATGATATGTACTCACTCATATGTGGACCTGCTTTATGATACATAGTAGTGACTGTGCTTTATCAGAGCTGTTTTTAATGATGTTGCTCAGAATGGTTTCCTTCCAGATGATGATTGAGAAGCTAATTAAAAAAAATGGTGCCAGGTACCACAAGAGTAACAGAACTGTGCTGTTTTTCTGGGATTTTGTTTTTTACTTTTTTTTTTAAATGGAGAGTGCTGGATGTATCTACAATTTTGTTCAAATGACTGCAGAAACTGGAAAAGCTGTTGTTGCTATTGATGCATAACATACTGCCATCATTGGTCTTTTATATAAATATAATTATATATATATATATACATATATAATTTGAATTTTTGGAAACTTTAGCTGTGCTGTCAACTTTGGAAAAAAGTATCCCAGTTTACCGTGTTGAGTTGGTATAGCACATAAATTACCAGCCATACTGGTCTAGAAATGTTGAACTTAATTTTTTTCCATTTGTACAGGGATAATGCACTGTATTAAATATGTAAGGTCTTAAAAAAACAAGAAGGGATTTTGAGAGCCCATCACATGTGAAGGGATGCTCTCTTGGCCTGGACACATGGGGAAGGGCCTAGGCCTGGCCCAGGATGATGTGGTAGACTTTGGGGAGCCCCTTTTGAGGGCCTTACCTTGCCTGGGGAATGGAGGGCAGATGGCTAGGGGCAGGTGGGATGTTGGGGGAGAGGGGAGAGAGAGGGAGAAGGGATTGACATGTGAAGCAAGCTTGTTCCTAATTTGAACAAATAAAATAAAAAATAATATCTATAATTCCAACAAAATATTAATATGTAAGTCCAGACAAATCACTGATAATATAATTTACTTCCTTATGGATATATGCTTTTTCCCTCTGTCAAAGAGAATCAGTGCATTCTACTGTAGATCTAGCTTATTTCTAATGGAGAGTGGAGATAAGGACAAACTTTCCTACAGATAGAGTCCCAGAGCCACAATACATGAAGGAGATTTTCTCAGATTCCCCTTGAAAGCCAAAAGTTATCATTAACTCAACAGAGGATCTTTCCCCCACTTTCTGAGCATTTTGACTCCACTTTTCTTTCTTTTTCAAAAAGAAGTTTGAAGACTATAACTGGTTTTCGTGCATGTGTGTATTTGTACCATGTGCATGTCTGTGCCTGAGAAAGTCAAGAGGGCATCTGATTCTCTAAAAGTGGAGGTATGGGTGGTTATGAGTCACCATGTGATGCTGGCAATTAAACCAAGGTCTTCTACAAGAGTAATAAGTGCTCTAAACCACTGAGCATCTCTCCAGAACCTTGACTCTACTTGTCAAGCTAATTTTAGTCATTTGGAAGCATACTAGCTTTCCCAGGATTAGTCAAGATAGAACTTCCTTCTTAGCCATAGTCAGTCATAGAGAACTGCCATAGTCATAGAAAGTACTGTCAGAGTCACAGAGAACTGTCATAGTCACAGAATACTGCCACAGTCATAGAGTACTGCCACAGTCACAGAATACTGTCACAGTCACAGAGTACTGTCATAGTCATAGAGTACTGCCACAGTCACAGAGTACTGTCATAGCCACAGAGTACTGTCACAGTCACAGAGTATTGTCACAGTCACAGAGTATTGTCACAGTCATAGAGTACTGTCATAGTCATAGAGTACTGCCACAGTCACAGAGTATTGTCACAGTCATAGAGTACTGTCATAGTCATAGAGTACTGCCACAGTCACAGAGTATTGTCACAGTCATAGAGTACTGTCATAGTCATAGAGTACTGCCACAGTCACAGAGTACTGTCACAGTCATGAGTACTATCACAGTCATAGAGTACTGCCACAGTCACAGAGTACTGTCACAGTCATGAGTACTATCACAGTCATAGAGTACTGCCACAGTCATAGAGTACTGTCACAGTCACAGAGTACTGTCACAGTCACGAGTACTGTCACAGTCACGGTACTGTCACAATCATAGAGTACTGTCACAGTCATAGAGTACTGCCACAGTCATAGAGTACTGTCACAGTCACAGAGTACTGTCACAGTCACGAGTACTGTCACAGTCAGAGTACTGTCACAATCATAGAGTAATACCATAGTGCCCATTCAGCCTGGGATGGACAAAATTCTGGCTTTTTAATGGCATTTTCTAGGACAGATTTAAGAGTCTAGAGGGGAAATAAAAAACTAAACAGAATAACAGAGCTCAGTTTAAGGACCTTCCAGAAAACAGCTATACCTTATATTCTAAAGACAGTTCAGGGACAGAGGCCCTGACACTCCTGGAAAGGTATGTTCTAGTCTTCGTCCTGCAGGCCTCTCAACTGTCCTCACAGATTCTGCTAAGATTGTTGCAGAAGACACGGATGGAAGTCACATGGGCACACATACACTGTGTTGGCTGACAGTACATTTATGGAACCTACTTTCTATCAACGTAGCAACAGTAGCAATAGTAGTAGTAGTAATAGTATCAGCAGTAGTAGAAGAGGAAGAAAAAGATGGTCATGATTAGATAACAGATTTTATTTAGATGTAGTAAATTACCAGAAAGTTGATAAAGCCAAAAATTTGAAAGTACTGCCAAACTTTAAGAACCGTTTATAAAGTTTTCTGATAACTTCTTCAAATAGGTTACTTTCTTGTCAAGTACAAAGGCACATAAGGGGTGGCATCCATTTGGAGACTGCCTTTCTGCAGGCTGTTTATATGCTCAGTAGACATTTTTTGTTACTAGCATAAATTTTTCTTGAAGACCTTATTTAAACTATTTAGTGTCAGTCCAAGGATGTGGTTCAGTATAGAGTGTGCCTGCATTGCATGCGCAAGGTGCCCAATTCAGCCCATAGTGCCACAAAAACAAAGAAGCAAAACAAAAACAAAACACCTCCCAGCTTTGACCCTCTTTAACAATGAGGATTAGCACTCTGCCATCTTTGTCTTGAAAAAGCTCTCCCAGGCCATTCTAACACCTGATTTTGAGAAGTAGTCTTCCAGACTCCAGTAAATAAACTAATGAGACTAAAGATGTTTTTAGAAGATGTTTTAAGGCAACCAAGGGTAAAAAATAGAACAACTGGCCAAATTTAATGGTCGTTTAGCTACAGAACTGGCAGATCACCAACAAGATTTAACACTGACAATCCGATCTGTATGGGAAATGAACTTTTAATGTGTTTTATTGCCGCAGGTGGCAACTTGGTAAAAATTACTGTGAATTAGTGGAAATATTCTAAATACGTATGTATTGATTAACTAAAACATTACCCACCGAGCACCAGGTGCATGTTAGAATTGAGGACAGGCACCAGAATTTCAACAAAGGGGTTCTCTGCTATAGGAAACATGTTGCATAATCAAATATGACTGTTAGATGTCATTGTGACAAATCATCTGTGAACTTCTCAAGAATACAAATGTTCACCATCTGATTATAAAGAACAATGATGTAATTAGCAAGACAATATAAACTGCATAGTTATAATGTAAGTGGTAAGGTTTATATTGCTGCTGCTGTTGTTTTGAGATAGTATCTCACCACATATTCCAAGCTGGCCTGGAACTCACAGTGATTTTCCACTTCCAAGGGCTGTCATTACAGACACGTGCCACCATGCTTGATGTAAGTGGTAAATTTTAAGGCATCCACAAAGATGTTACTTGACCACAGGGTCAGTCCACAAGAGGAGGAAGACAACTGGGATCCCTTTTCATAGAAGCTGACAGTGCCTTGAATTTCTGAATAAAAACTAGGTTTTATTTGAGAAAAGAAAGGAAAAAGGTTGGGGTATGGCTCTGAATGCTGAGAAGTGTGGAATATATCAAGCACTGGTTTAGGTTTGGGATTCAAGATTTGAGGGGAAGATCAGAGGAAGACAATATTAAAGAAGCAGGAAGCAAGAAATTTGAAGATAGAGGGAGGCTGTAGAACAAAATTGCAGCAGACTGTATTAGCCTCATGTTCGGGAGCCATTTGCTGCCAACTGATGTCTTCAGGGCTGTGGTTGGAACCAGCCGAATCGCCCCGGGTCCATTCCTGAGTGGGGGAGTGTGGTTGAGGGAAGGCTAGCTATCCAACAGCATTAAAGAAAAGACAAAGACATCTGTTCGTAACAGGAGGGCAAGGTCAGTCAATACTGAATGCGCCCAGTTTATTCATGCATCATCTTAAATAACCATCTAAAGGTGGGGACAAAGGCAGAAGACTTCTACTCTCATGTATAAAGGGCAGATAGCAATTACTTCCCTTAATCCTAAAGATACTCCTTAGCTGCACTACTAAGATCCCCAGGCACTCCATATCAGCACATCTCACTCAGTCTTCAGGGTACGTGCAAACTCTCTCTGGCCCAAGTCTATTGTTACTTAGATAGGAGCCATTCTCCACTATTCTCCTGCAATCATTAGTTTACACCTTAAAGACAATAGAAATCGAGGCTTAAAAGCTTCCAACCTTAAGCCTGGATCTTTGTGTAGGAGGGTTTCTCTGCACATTAATGTGTGCCAAACCTGTAGGCAGGGCAGGGTGGTGGAGTGGGGCAGAAGTGTCCAGGTGTTGATGACTCACAGACTACTGCCAACTAAGGAGTGGATTGGAGATATTGACCCTTTGTTGAGTCTTAGCTATTTGAATGAAAGAGTGATGCCCTGGTTAACATATCTGGCTTTGTTACTGGCTTTTTGGAATTGTTATTGTTTTTTTTGCCATTGGCCAAACAGAACTTTATTTAACAATCAATAAGATAAACATACACAGTACATTCCCCATCATCTCCTCTTTTTTGTCTAAAATAAAAGGATAACTTATCTTTTATAATAACTGAAGAAAACTATAACCATAACTATCTGTCTTTAACTCTATCAAAGACCACAGAAGGATAATATATAAACTCTAGAATTGACAGAGACATCTGCTACCTGGACAGTCACCCACAGTTCCTCTGTAATGTTGGGGCATCCATCTTTAGCCTATAGGCCAGTGTGTCTAGCACATTTCTCCATTTTAACAGGAACCCTTCAGTATTGTCTTGTTTTGTAATTTCAGCAGTCATTTTCTTGTGGGTCCTGTATGTCCAGTTTATACAGCAACAAACGGTCCAGGCAAGAGCAGTTTCTTGCTCAAATGGCTAATCTTGCCATGTTGAAAGCAAACTCCATAACAAGTTTTTTTCGATGCCCATCCTCCTTTCTGACGTAATTGGTGTGCCAGGAGCAGTTGTGTCTCACTGCCAAGAAAAACCCTAAACCATTTAAATGCCATATTTCTATAGGTCTTTGAAAGGTTTGAAGAATACCTAACCATCTCAAATACATCTCTATATCTAGAAAACCTATCTAACCTAATTATAGGTTCTGACTATTATAGGTTAAAGATCTGTATAAACACAATACCTAAACAATGGGAGACATATACATATCACAAAATTGACCTTACAAATGCAAAGTATTCATTCCTATATCCTATTCCCCCTTTCTTTTTCTTTAAAAAGAGATTGACTATGCTCATTACCATTTATAACCAACCCCATTTAAATGAAAACAAACATTTATAAACAATATTTGGGGATATGGGCGTCATTCCTTCTAAACTGCTTCCTGCTGATTGGGGGAAATGTTCATATACCATAGGGATCATGATAAAACATAGAAACTTGACCAATTCCTTGTTTTTGTAGTCTGTAAGTCTGTATCATCTCAGCTTTAGGGGATCTTGCTTGATCAAACCATATTAGTCTGGAAGGAATCCATAGCGTTTTATTTTCTGTGGAAACACAAACAGAAATTCTTTTTCCAAATAGTCTGTCCTAAGACTTAAATTTTGAAGTTAGAGCATTTTTAAAATGTATAAGTTGGATTAATTTAGCAGCATTTATGATCAAATGTATTTAACAGCAGTAAGTCTCTCCTTGGCAATTAAACAATTTAAAGACAACAATATGGTATATAGTTTCCAGATTGTGTATTTTTATCTTTATGTGGCTTTTTTATTACTTTATTTTTACTTTCTTTTGTTTCTTTTTTCCCCGAGACAGGGTTTCTCTGTGGAAATCCATCTGCCTCTGCTTCCTTTAGCAAATCCTACCCGTGTTTGTCACCACAACCAGCTACTCCATTTCTTCCTGTTACTTTTTCTCTCACAAGCCTACATATATTTTTAAATGTAGTGTAAACCTTTAGATATTTTTCTTTATCTGGATCTGCCTTTATCCTCTTGGCAGTGCCGAGTCCAATGCCCAAGAGCACCTGGATGGAGCGAGCATATGGAAGCTGCTCCGATGCCTCTCAGCGGCCCAAAAGGGCAGGCTGGGCTGTGGCGGCAAGTTTCCCTCTTTCTCTGGGAACCTTGGGGCATGGGGTTATCCCACTTCTGACACCATTCTGTTACGATAAATCTTTCCGCCAAAGCTGCCGAGCCCTACCACCATGTGGGCCATCTCTGCCAGCGGCCTGCCTGAGTTAGGGCCCAAATTAATACACAGAGAGACTTGTATTAGGTACAATGCTGCCCGGCCAATGACTAGGATTCTCATCTGTTAGCTCAGTCTTAATTATCATAAATCTACATATTTTATAAGACTTATCTTATCGGATGCCTTATTGGCATCCCTCGTTGCTGGTGGATCACAATGCACTGCTCGAGGAGGAAGGGGAGAGGGGCTGGAATTGTTATTGTTAATGGAACTTCCCTGCCTCACTTTGACATGACCTTGCTGTTTCCTGGGGTCATTTGTCAAATGTACTTGTATCCTGTCTTGGAATCAACTTTGGGGCAAATCCAAATAAAGGTAGTAAATCTCTTAATAACCCAAAGAAAACAGGAAAAAGCAACTTCTTGTCATTTTACACATGTGCAGATGGATATGTGGAAAGATTAATTCTGCTGTCTCGATCACTTAACTGGTGAATGATAAAGCCCAGATTCAAACTCAAATCAAGCAATCTTAGCATTGTGTTACACAGTCAGGCTCAAACTCCAAATGCAAAGCAAGTCTTGTGGATGTGGTGTGAAAGCCAGAGGCAGTCTGTTTGTCAGTTTGCTTTAAGGTAACTCGAAACTGACTGCTATTTTCAAATTCTGATCCTAATTACTATAAATTTGGAACCAGAGATACGCCTGTTAGCTCCTTCTGCCTTTCCTCCAGCACACTTTAGTAGGCCGAAAATTCATCCTGTAGTCTTCCCCTTGCTGAGAGTGACAGTCATAGAAAATTTAGAAGTTGAGTGGATTGCTTTTGCAGGCGGTCAGCTGCAAAACATTTGGAAAGTGGTTCAGCTCACCAGGTATTTTTAATATGTCCCTATACTGATCACACACATCTCCCATAACCCTGTATTATTTTTGTTGTTGTTTTTGTTGTTTTGTTTTTTCAGTAATAATATGAAATGAAAGTAAGTGATGAAAAGAAATAGGAAAGAATAGTTACACGTAAAACTCACTGGCAGCTCAGAATTCCCTGTCCTTGTCCATGACCAAAATGACTCCCATGCCTCCACATGTGTAGGCAAACACTGGAAGGCAGATCTCAGTTCAGCTGATTCACCAAGTGACTCTGTGAAATTGAGCACATTACCTCACTCTTTGCGGTCTTTGTTGCCCTCTGCAAAGAAAGAGTTTCAAATGCAGTTTGTTTCCTGTTTCAGTGTTTCTCTGGGTCTCTCACTGCTGAGATAGCCAGCATCGTGGCTGAACGAGAATCCAGCATCGTGGTTGAAGGAGAATCACTTTGCACTACACTTTGCACTCTGCAGGAACTGTGTGCTCCCTAAGTTCACTTGTTGGCTTTTGCCTTCCCTGCCGTTCGGAACACTTTTCCTTCTCTTACAAAAGTTCAAACCGGTTTTTAAAATTCTTAATGACTACAGAAACAATTGAGCCCTCCTCTGAATCTCTAAGTATTTATTATCACACCACTCATGCATACGGCATTAGCATTTATAGCACAAGAAAACCCTGCGAGAGACTTTCCAGTAGGCATAGACTATGGTATTAATTGCTCGAGAAGTGGTTTGGAGTGTACTTCTCAACATGTGGTGGAAAAATCACATTGAGAACCACTAGCCTTAGACTGTGTTCCTTTCATCCGGATCAGACCCACGCTAGCACGCTATACACTGCAGGCTGAGGATAATTAGTATATAAATGAATTCAAATACCCATATACTCCGGAATGCGCAAATGAAACAATACCTTTGCAGTAGGAGAAGGGATTCGCAAAAGGAAACCATAATTCCCACCTGCAGAGGGCAGCAGCGCCTCGACGGTGAGGGCGCAGGGTTTGTGCAGCCCATCTTGGTTCTTTAAGAAAAGCCCCAAACTGAAAGTCTTTGTTCTTTGTTCCTGATTTTATAATGTTAGCAACAAAGCGAAGTATTTTTTAAATACCCTTTTAAGGTCTTTGGCGTTTGGTGGTCTTTTAGGCTTTGATCATCTCTTCTTCAGTCCAATGTAGGGTGGCTTTTCCAAATGTCTGATTCTCTCCAAAGGTCCCCCAAACCAGCTTTGTGACCAAGGAAACGAACTGGACAGGGTCACGTGTCAATCAGATTCTCAGATTCCCTTTACCTCTCTCTCTCTCTTCCTCTCTCCCCCTCCCCCCTTCTCCTTTCCCTTACGATAGAAACCTCACAAGATAAATTATATATATATGCAACACCCGAAGGGACAAAACAACTACAAAACAAAAGGGACTCGTCGTATTCCTTGGAGGTCCCAGCAGGCGGCAGCCTGACTTGTGAGCCTTTGTGCCACACTTCGTGTGAGCTCCTGCTTATGCTCAGGGCTACCTAACCCCTCAGGGTTGGCCTCCTTGGGAAATGTGTTGTAAGTTCTTCATGGTAAACACCAGTCTCCTTTTTCTACTCCATTTTTAAAGCCGTTTCTTCTGGAAACTTTCCACCACATGAAGATAAAATTCTCAAACAGGGACAGACTAGTTGCATGTATCCCAAAAAGATGAGAATATTTTCTTCCCAGGCTTCACAGTGGTAGCCATTCTGTGTGAGACATACTGGGAAACCTGAATAAAATATTAGACAAAGGGTGGAGCTTAATAACTTTTCTTTTTGTGGGTATATGGTGAGACCTCTTGTATGCTAGCTATGTGCTGTGACACTGAGCTACACTCCTGGCTCAGCAACTCTACTACTACTAATAAAAGAGAAAAGGGAAAGAATGAAGGGATAAAATTATAACAGATGTAGGTTAGAGGAGGTTTTTTGTTTTTTTGTTTTTTTTTTTTTTTTTTTTTTTTTTTTTAGAAAACAATTCTTCATTGACTCTTTGGGAATTTCACATCATACTCCCTAGTTGCTCAACTCCCATTACCTCCATATCCACCCCTTACCCTGCAGCATGCTCCCCGCCCCCAAATTAATTAAAAACAAAACAAACACCTCGCTCCTCCATCTTCCCAATACCTCTTCATTCACCCTAGTGACATCAGGAGCTGCAGTGTTCACACAGGATACCCTTTTATCCAATCAGCCCCACCCACAAAATGTTCAATGCAGTGAGTCATTGGTCTGGTTCAAGGTCTCTGGCACATCATCATCACTGGGCCCTCACCAAAACTCCTCTGGGATCCTGCTGTTGCCCCTAGTCAAGGAGATCCTATGGTTATCCTTCTACAGAACCAATCCCTTCACCACTCCAGCAGGTTGTAGCTGGGGTAGATGTTAGTGTGTGCCAGCCCAAGGCCCAGGAGGATGTAGGTCTGGATGGTAGCTGAGCTGTTCTGTCTGGGCCACCGGGACCACCTCCGTAGGTGAAGCTCTCCTAGGCCCATGGTGAGGGGTGGGACCATTTCTCCTGAGTGTGGAGGCCAACTGTTCCATGGGGCAAGCCCTCCTGTTGCAGTGTCCAGGGAGGAGCAGGGCCAGCTATCCCAAGGCCAGAGAGGGGTGGGCCAGCTCAGCACAGCCCTCAGATTTCAACATGCATGGTTCCTATGATCTCCTGTGGTAATACAGGCTATGGACATCAAGACAGACCCTGGATGCAGTAGTGTCATGGACCCAGACATGGCCCTCTGTTGCAGCCTGGGCCCAGATGTCATCATGGCACCTTGTGGCAATGCAGGCCACTCAGATCTGTATGGCCTTGGCTGCAGCATGACCCTCAGATTCCCATCCAGCCTCAGGTGGCAGCCCAGACCCTGAGTATTTGCATAACCTTCGGTGGTATCAGGAGCCATAGACATCAACCCAGACCCTGTCTGCTATAGGGACACAGACCCAGATATTGCCCTCAGCAACAGCCCATGCCCAGATGGCATCTTGTCCCCCAGTGGCAGCAAAGGCTACTCAGATCAACAAGGCCCCAGACACCAAAATGTCCACAGGTGACAGCCCAGACCCATGGTCTTGGTGGCAACATGGGTCTTGGATGTCAACACAGAGCCCTGCTGTCATAGGAACATAGACCCAGAAACGGTCCTTGCAGCAGGGCGCCAAGTATTGCGTGCGCTCAAAGATGATACATAGGCTGTAATGCTAAGATTTCTTTATTCAGATAAATACCAGCCCAAACGCAAGCCAGAGCATGCCCAGAGGCCGTAAGCTAGCGTGGCCAGAGAGAAGGGACCTTCGTGTGTCTGCAGCCCTTTAAGAACCTATCCTGACCTCCCCTTGACCCCGCCCTGATAGGCGTGGTCAAGCACACCAGTAGCCAGCCCTTAGGCAGTGGTTACAGTGTCTTCCTACACAGACACTATACTACCCCGGGTGGCAAGCAGGCTCCCAACATCAACACACCCCTCACAGCCCTTGCTTCTTCAGAACCTCCTCTTACCACAGTACACGAACCACTCCACCACTCTCTCCCATTTCTCCACCACATACTTGCTCATCAGAATGGCACCCACCTGCCTCGTGCTACAAGGTGCTGTGCCGGCCTGTGGATTCTTCAGGGAGGCTGGAACATGAGGATCCAGGCTGCTTCATGGGTGTCTTTCACCCACCTGAGCCACATGGCATCAGGAGGACTGTGGATCACTTAATGATCTGTTTCATGTTAGTTCATATAGAACTTCTTATTCATGTTCCTTTTAATAGTTAAATATCCATTCCATAATACTTGTGAGTATATTGATCCTGCTTTCTGTTCATGAATACTTTGAATGTTTACAACTGTTTTCAAGCTGCGTGGATAGCCTCATATTTAGTTCATGCACGAATACAGGCATGTCTACAGGAAAGGTCTGAGAAGTACGAAAATGCGCCAGGGGCTGGAGAGATGGCACAGAGGTTAAGAGTGCTTATTGTTTTTCTAGAAGTTTCATTCCCAACACCCGTGCCTGGCTCACATTTGCCTGTAACTGCAGCTCCATGGATCTGACTCATTCTTCTCACCTCCAAGTACCAAGTACCTCTCCATACAGGCAACACACACACACACACACACACACACACACACACACACACACACACATTTTTAAAATTAATTTTTAAAAAAAAATCTGATTCAAAAGGTTTGTACACTTCAATTTTGATGTTTACAGTCTCCACAGATTCCCAAAGAAATTTTTCTAAGTTATCTAACTGCCAATGGTGTTGAAGGAAACCTTATTCTGCTGCCCTTACCACAGTTCGTTTTAATTAGCAAAGTTGTATCTTTGCAAACCCAGTTTGCAGAAAACTGGCATGTTGTAGTTTTATTTTGAACATTTATCTTATTTTTAGGGTTCAGTGAGTCATGTGCAAAGCTAGTTACAGATCTTGAAGTGGCCTATACTCTTAGATAGTTTAGGGTCCATTATGTATAAACCAGTATTACAGCAATACACAGAATGTATATATTATATAGGGTGGCTAATTTTTATATCCTCTCATTTCATATAACATATCTTGTATTTTACTGAATCTTTTCCTGTATAGAGTTTATCATGTAACTTTCCAAGTGCATTCGTGCATTTTCTCATCCTAAGCCATGAAAGTTCTTCCTGTGATTCTTAACTTCAGCTTTGCATGTTCACTTTAACTCTGATATTCAAATATTGTATCTTTAAATGCTTAAGGATTTTTTTCAGATTTTTTTTAGAGTTTCTCTTCTCTTTAATAGTTTTCATACTTTACAGAAAAATACTTTTTAAGTTTGATTTTCTGTTGAATCGCTGAAGTCTCTCTTCTTTTCTACACTCCTGTTTTCTCTCCCTGTCTGTCTTTTTCTCTCCCTCCCTCCTCTTTCTTTTCTACCCCTCACCCTTTGGACTCATCTAAGCTGTTGCCACAGCAATCACTTTGTATAATTAGATGCCCCAATTTGGGAAGGAAAGAGAAGAATTTTTTTCAGGAGCATTATGGTTTATTAAACTAAAAGAACCATTATTTTGTTCCTGCTCTGGATGTTGTCTTGATGTTGTATGTAGGTGGCAGCTAAAAATAACCCTATTAATATTCTCCTCTATGTCGTATTCACTAGCATGTTTAGTGCCTCATTACTAATGAGAATTCATCAAAAAATAATGTAGAATGCTTTGTTTCTGATGGTTGTAATAAGAGCACAATTTGAGTTCAAAGACATCTTGTGAATCTACAAATATGAATATCTAAATACAACTTGCTTGATTATAAGAAATATAAAGCAGACAAAGGGAGAGGGTATGAAATGTCTTTTTATTTATCCAAGCCACCCAAATGCCACTTGCAGGCCTACTGCTAGCTACAGAATAGTGTGACTCGAAGAATAGAGCTGAGATTAATATGTCATTTTCTGTTCTGTGCAATATTTCTTACACAGTTGGGGCACTAAGAATGACATGAATATTCTCTATATTTCAAAAGAGGGAGGGAAACACTTGAACGTTCTCACTATAAAGAAAAACAAATATTCAAGGAGATGAATTTAACCAAGTTTAAGCAGTGTACAATGTATACACATAAAATGAATAAGTAAATTAAAACTCAGTGAAATGCTTCTTTAAATTTTTAAAACAGGGAGCGATGCCCACATCCAAGCGAGACAAGAAAGTTTCCTTGACAAAAACTGCCAACAAAGGCTTGGAGCTGAAGCAGAACCTGATAGAAGAGTTTCAGAACTATGTGGGCACCTGCAAGTACCTCTTCATCATCTTCTCTATGGCCAACATGAGGAACAGTAAGCTGAAGGACATCTAGAATGCCTGGAAGCACAGCGGATGTTCTTTGGCAAAAACAAGGTGATGATGGTGGCCTTAGGTCGAAGCCCATCTGACGAATACAAAGACAACCTACATCAGGTCAGCAAGAAGTTGAGAGGTGAAGTTAGGCTCCTATTTTACCAAGCACACAAAGGAGGAGGCGAACGAGTGGTTCACAATGCATACAGAAATGGATTTTGCTCGAGCTGGGAACAAAGCAACTTTAACCGTGAGCCTGAATCCAGGGCCCCTGAAGCAGTTCCTTCATTCCACGGAGCCACAGCTGAGGCGGCTAGGCCTGCCCATTGCTCTCAAGAAAGGTGTGGTGACCCTGATGACTATGAAGTGTGCAAGGAAGGCCATGTGCTGACCCCAGAGCAGGCCCGTGTCTTGAAGCTTTTTGTGTATGAGGTGGCTGAATTCAAAGTGACATCAAATACATATGGGATGCCCAGTCGGGAAGGTTCCAGCAGATGAACGATAA